CGAGGAAAATCCACTAAAGAGTGGATCCACCCTTAGACCCTAAACCCACTATCCTGATATATCCCGGAGCAATTCGAGACAGATGAATAGTTCCCGGAAAGCAACCGGCATTTGGGAGACAGAAGACATGCCTTAGCTACCTAAACGGAAGTTTCCCACAATAGTAAGAACCCAATAATGTAGACCCCAATGTACTCAAGTACTATAGTCCCCACTATAGCTTCCAAATTATGTAGGCCAAGTATTCTTGAGTGCTCTTTCTGCCCTTACAGCTTTGAATAGTATAGGCTAAGTGTCATTATGCCTTCCTGCTAGCTTAAGGTTGCAGAGGTGTGCAAGGTGTTTCTTTCGGAGCTTGTTGTGTTTACCCTTCAGGGTCTGAATGCCCATAAAGTCTAAATTTCATTGAACATTTTCTTAGTCTTTCAAATCTGAATGATACATGTTCCAGTACATGTTAAGAAGTAGAGTTTGTAAAGGTGCGGGAGGTTTTCTTCGGAGTTGCTGTGCCCAACATCATCTATGAGCTTCCCGTGCCTGAAGTCGTTGTGGACGTAATTTTCCCCACCCCCCATCCCCCCCCTTTAAACAAAAGCTGTCAAAATTGCGAAATTCCGCAAAAATCCAAAAACGTATTTTTGGGCAACATTGCTCTGTTGCAAGAATGCTGTGTTTTGCAGTACTTTCTGCTTCGCTGCCATGCGGGATTGTGTGGGAAATGCATGTTTTGAACAAAAGCATGCGGAGCCCGAAACACTGCGTGGAACATTTTTTTTGTGTCTTGCCATCATGATATTGCGTCAAAACACGGAAAATCCCGACTCCGAACTTTGCCCCTTCTTCAAGTTAGTCCCCTTCCGAAGTACTGCGTTTTGATGTGTTTTCTTATTTCTCCAGTTACGGGACAGCCAAAAAAACGGGTCGTCAAATACATAAAGCGCTCGTACTACTACTACTACTACTACTACTGCTATTACTCCTGCTGCTGCTGCTTCTTGCTACTAGTAAACTAGTAATAGTAGTACTACTAATACTACTAGTCCTGCTGCTGCTGCCGCCCAACCCACGATGCACTTGATTGCAGATAGTTTGAAACTTGGGGTAACCCTTACAAAGTCCGAAGCCCTACGCCTACATCCCAGTGTTTTTGAATACTGCCTGGCCTTGTTGTTCTGAGGCAAAGGACCTGAAGCGCAAAGGCCTCAGCAACAAGGCGCGTCTTCGAAAGGCATGCGTGGCCCCAGGCAAACACGATTTTTAAGTTCTAGAAACTTTCACATGGGTTTTGGTAGGGCCAGGGCTGTGCGGGTGTTATGGTGCTAGGGGAGTGTGCAGGTGGCCAAGAAGGTCTTCTGAAAGAGGCCTGGTCGCCTCTGAAAGCGAGCCTTTTCCTGACTGAGAAAAAGCGGACCGTGCTTGGAGGGTCAGGGGGACCCAGTAAGTAGCTTAATCTGAAATAATCCTTATAACCCATATGATAACCCGAATTATCGCCAGTCTTAACCCTGGTATCCAAGCCTCCGAGTGGAGAGGAATCGATCGGCTTCTGAGGGCAAACATTAGATGCGGCAAAGTTCCCGCAGCCCTGAAACGAGGAGTGCCAGATGCAAAAAGGCTTTTCTTGGCTGCGACGTGACTGCGCATGGTTGCTATATGAGCTGTAGTCTAAATTCCTTAAATGGGGTTATATAGGGGATTATATAGGGGACTACAATAGAGGTTATTAAGGGGGATACTAGGAGTTTAGACTAAAGCTCATATGCAGATTTGCGCATCTTGCGTCTTCGAGGCGCAAATGCTGCTTGACTGGCCTCTTTGAGCTTGAGTAGATTTCTTTTTGAGGTCCAGCGTGGTCTTGCCTCTGCAATGAACTGCGCCAGGTTCCTGTGGAAGATGATGGGCCGCTGCCTCTTCTTGCATTTGCCTTTTTGGGCCCCAGCGCCCCCTTGCTTTGGCAAATGCAAGCAGAGGGCTTGTTGTTGCCCGATCCATGCGTACCTAAAAAAAGGATATCCCACAACTTTAGCTTTAGCAGAAGTCGTCTTGAAGCTATGTTGGATCATGTTGAGCCTTGGGCATCCGACCAGTACGCTCGTGGGTCTACAAAGTGTCTACAAAGTGCCAGACTCTTTGCGGGTTTGGGGTACCAGATGTGGCACCCAAATTCCCAGCATAAGTGTAATCCTAATCCCAAGCCCATGAACTGCTGCCTCCCATGCCGTCTGCCAAGTCGCAGGTCTCTTACGCGAGAAGAACTCCTGGAACTCAACAAGCAGCCGGACCAGAGACCTGCATGAACCTTACTGGCCTAACTGAGAAGTCACTCTCCTGAGTTGCTGTTAAGGAACTTAATTTCAGTATTACTATATTGGTAAAACCATATTAATTACCATGTATACCGATTATGGTAACTTAATTTAAGTTCCTTAGCAGCAAGCCAGTCAAGCAGTGAGGGATCCTGCTGCGGGGCCACCCCCGCCTTATGCATTGAGCCTGCGAGGTCAAGAGCTGTGTAAAGATGGCAAGAAGAGTACGCATGCAAACGCCTATATATAAGAGCATCATGTAAGCTATAGTCTGTTCTCCTAGTATCCCCGTAGATAAGCCCTTCAATACTCCCCTATATAGTCCCAATATCATCCCCTTCAAGGAGTTTAGAAGCACCTGGCACAGAAGGCCCGGCCGCGACTGCCGACGGCGTTCACGCAGACCGGCGTCGCTGGAGTCGGCTCCTTTGTTTTACTGGTTCTGAGTGGGGAATAAGGGATAATGGAAAAGAGAAGATGGAAACTCCTACATTATGATAGGGTATATTGGGGTTACAGTAGGGAGTAATTAAAGGAATATATTATGTGGGGCATATATATGGATGATATTTCCTTATTCCCTACTGAGAACCAGTAAGTAGTGCAGGAGAGTGAAACTCCCCTGCGGTCCGTGCCGGGTTGGATAAGCGTTGGATTGCGAGGCGAAGCTCCGTTAGTTGTCTGCCCCTACATAAGCCCTTTGTAGTAATTCCCTTCTTCCCTACGATCTCCTCAACATATACCCTATCATAATGTAGTAGTTTCCATTTTCTTCTCCATTATCCCTAGACAATCCCTATATAACCCCAATATTGCTATGTCTCCTTATTCCCTACTTTAACCCAAGATTTCTGCGTGGCCTGCACTGCATGGCTCAAAGCTGTTGCTGCGACTTGCAGCCAGCTTCATGATGGCTTTCATGTCTCGCCTCCTCGCTTTGGCATGTGTTCCCTGCCTGGTGGTTGCAGATGTGCCGAACCTGGTAAGGCTGGCTGTACAGCCAGTGCTCAAGGACATGGCCTGGAAGCACTTGAAGTCACTTTGGAAAGTCTGTTTAGGTCTTGTGATTCATTATAACGTCCTGCGAAGAAGTTATCTTATTTCCTTCCTTTACATGGGAACCACAGGTACAACATGAGCTTCAGTTTTGGCTATGTGGACCACTCGGGACGTGTTGCGGCGGCGGCGGGCAAAAATGACAGATTCCAGAAGAATCGCTTGAAGCCAGAGTCGCTCATACCCTTGGGCTCCGTTACCAAGCCCTGGACAGCTGTTCTGGTCACTGGAGTCTGGCCGGAACATCTTTTGTTTCTTCCTGTTTTTCATGCTTTACGTGCTAGGTCTGCCTGGTACGGTTCTAATGCACTTCAGGTCATGCAAGCAGCAGAAGCCGGCCTTTTGAGCCTGGATGATCCTGCAACCAAGTGGATCGACCCAGTGCTGTCTCGCCTCTGGAAAACAAATATGACAAAGTTATGGGGTGAAGATGTAGAACTGGTTCGGGTGCGTGACTTGTTGGGGATGACCAGCGGCTTCTACGACTACGACGACTTTTTCTTGGAGCACTTCACGCTGGCCCTGGCCTCTGATGATGCTGGGCCACTGACTTACATCAAGAGCTCAGCACGCCAGGGGTTCCTCTGCAAACCCCAGACGTGTGCCGGCTACTCTGGGGTCAACTACATCTTGTTGGGCCTGCTCCTCGTTCAAGTTGAAGGCATTTGGTCCTGGCAGGACCTGCACCAGCTGAGTGTGATTCCTAAGAAGTTGTTCGACACGGGACGCTACTCTCACACGAGCTTCCTGAACCTTGGAAGGTGCAGTCAATACCCAGGCGTTGCTCACCAGTATTCGTGGCAATACTGGAAGAATGCCAGCCATCTGCAAACCTTTCAAGATCTCTTCATGAACTCCTGCCTCAATGGCTGGACCATGGGCAACATCGCCAGCTCAGCCCAAGACCTCGCCACCTTCTTCTTCGACTTGTTCACAGTGCCGCTGGAAGATGGTGGCTTCCTGAGCAACTCCTCTCTACAGGCAATGCAGAAGATGAAGCGCCTCAGCGACGACTGGTGCCAGGGGCCGACTGGATATGGCTCCTGCTCCTACGGCATGGGCCTCCTTACAGAGTCTGGGATGAGAGAGAGTCTGGGTTCAGAAACGTGCTTTGGGTAAGCAAAGGGTCGAATTGAATTTCTGATCAGCCAAAGCTAAGGATCAAGTTGGTCAGGACGTTTGGTCCTTGCAGGACCCGACTGCAGACCCCCAGGCCGTCAAGATCATTGGTCACCCGGGCGAAGACTGGGGCAGTGGCTGCTCCCCTTGTGGCTACAACCCAACATATGGCTTCGGCGTCTGCATAGCCTACACCAGTGTGATTGGCATGAACTGCACTGGGGATTTCCGCGAGAATTTCAACGCTGTTCAGGAAGCCACATGCCGTGTCTACGATGCTGTCCTCGCCACGGTTGGTGGTCCGAGGCTCAACTGCACAAATCCGGCCTTCTCAGGGCCCCCAGAGTTGAAAACGTGCACATGGCAGAGAAATCCAGATCCCTTCCCGCGACCCCCAAAACCTCCGTTTCCGCCATTTCCTCCGCAGCCTCCGCAAACCTTGGTTGTGTGAGCTGTGAGTCTGTTTCACCGAGATCGTAATATGTTCCGTGCCTGAGCTCAAAGGTCAGGCCTAGAGCAAACGGCAGTGTTGGGCTCTGACAGGTCCCAAGACCTGCGCCGCCGAAAATTCATCATTTTGCATTTCGATGGCATCCGGCCATCTGCATGCGCCCCACTGCTTGGATGGGTGCGTGGCAGTGTCTACAGACATTTAGAAGCGCCGGCCAAAAAATGACCTGCCCCCTTAGCGTATATTACCTTAGAAGCATGGAGCAACTGCCGAGGTGGTGGAGACGGCTCCAAATCCAGAAAGTCCAAGATTCCAGGCGTGTTGGGAAGCAGGAGACTGAGGCAGCATGCTGAGACAATCCTTTTTGAGGCCATGATGTCCAGCATGCCAGACCACATGAAGGACGTTCATGGTTGCAACAGCGGCTGGTCGGCATAGAGAAAGAAGATACCTGTTGGAAAGGAGATGGTCTTCTCTCCCCGAGACGAAGTGGATCTCCAGAAGCACTTGGTGGAGAAAGCTGCTAAGGACATGGGTAGATTTCCAAAACTAGGTACGGCCGGTCTTCGTATCTTTGCCACTACTGTATGACGCCAGTTCGACTGCAAGCGCTGTGATTATCCTTGTCATTAATTGAGAGGCACCAGTAGTGAAACAGCAACAACAACAACAGCAGCAGCAGCAGCAGCAGCAGCAGCAGCAGCAGCAGCAGCAGCAAATATGGCTACCTCTCCTGCTGTTCCTGCGTAGCCTCCTACTACTTGTTGCACCCACTTCTGCTTCTGCTTCAACCTTGCTCCGAAACTCCAGGTCCTAGTCCTGGTCCTCTAGTCCTAGTCCTAGTCCTACCGCTGCTATCCTTGAAGGGGGTTGGTTATATAGGGGGTTACAGTACATAGGGAAGTCTTATAGGGCTTATCAAGGGGGATTCTAGGAGTTTAGGCTATGGCCCCCCCTGTTGCAGCAACACTGCAATCTGTGACGAAGGACGCAGACCTCCTTGAAAGCGTGCTCAGGTGCAACCCTGCCTCGAGATCTGGAGGGCGGGTAAGGGCGGAGTTTAGGGTTCAGGCCCACCCCTCTGCTGGGTAGTTCCCAAAACTAGGGTCCCATCTGGGTACCCCCCAAATATTAGGTGCCGTACCATAAATCCACAACCAAAAGGGGCCCATAGTCTTGAGAAGAAACTTCCTAGCAGTGCGGGACTCGAGGGAATTTCGGGATGTCGGACCCCTTGTTGTCGGTCCACCTTGTAAAGCCGCTGGTGTTTCAAGCTGGCATATGCTATGTAATTGCGGATGGCTGGCCCCTATTTGTAATGCTACTATCGATTCCTCTTCCGAGTCCTGACTGGCTGATCTAGGAGGATTATCCCCTGCAACTAAATCATAGATGTAAGGTGACCCCACTATAGACCCAAAAAATATATTCTAGCCCCAAGTATACGTATCCCCACGAAGGTACCCCGCACATAAGGACCTCAAAGTCACTTTCAAACTTAACCCTTCGTGTCCATAGGGCTGTAACGGCATCCCTGTTATTAGAATCCCTAGAATATATAAAGTAGTTTCCATTTCCTCTTCCATTATCCCCTTAGGATCCCTATATAATAGAACTCTTGACTGTCCGAGCCGCCAAGCCGTTGGCCCAAGAAGAGCAAGCAGTCGCAGAAACCAGCATGTCCCAACTGCCTGACCAGACACATGCAATGCCAGAGATTGAGGTTTGTAGATATGCCCGAGATGAGAAAACTGATGTGTCAAGGACCTAAAGGAAAGCGTGTCTGCACCACAAGTAGCATGCCTGCCTGGAGTTATCTTCCAGGGTACTATCAGCTCAGGTTGTAGCCTGAGTGTTCAGGGCTTAAGGTAGGTGACAGTTGCAGAACGGCACCTGCTCGCTTTAACAAACAGCTTATGCACAGAGCGAGCTAGTTTTTTACACATGCATGAGATGTGGGCTCCTCCATGAGATGTGGGCTCCTCCGAGAGCGGAGCCTTCAATTCAACCTGCCCGCTTTTCTGCGAAAGTTTTCTACAATCTGCCAAAGGTGGTGGACGGATTGCCAGGTGCAAAAGCGAGGGTGACAGGGTTGGTGGCCAGGGCCGGCGTTGCCTCCGTGTCGGCCTTCCTTGTATTACGCGGTCGGCGAGCAAAGAGCGCTGCTGAGCGCGGCTTTCGTGTCGGGCGCAACCAGGCAGCCAAAGAGGTCAGGGGGATCACAAAGCTCTGCAATCAGGGGTTATATAGGGGTTATAGAAGGATATGGAAAGGAACATGGAAACTATTATTGTATCATAGGGTATATAACCCATTGCAATATAGGGATAATGAAGACTACGCAACCTCATCTTGCAGGTGTCGGCCCTCTCCACCCAGAACTTCTTTGGGGTGACCTTGAGGCTGCTGCAACCTGGGATAAACACAGGAATCAGGACACCATGTCTCATAACAAAGCAATATTAGAACTATCGATCAGGATAGCAGTGCTACTGATAGTTTTAAAGCTGATCATGGCAATAACAACAGACACAATGTCAAGATCGTATTCATATAAGCATCAATTCTGTTTGTTTTTTGTTGATAAGCCCTCACACCCTGAACCCTAAAACCCTAAACTCGCAAACCCTAAACCCTTAAACCCTCGAACCCTAAGCCCCTAAACCTCAAATCCTAAAACCCTAAACCCCCCCAAACCCTAAAACCCCGAAACCCGAATGCGCCAACCAGGCCAGAACAGCTGGCTGTCGTTGAGGCGGCTCTCCAACCCAAGGCCAGGTTTGTCACTTGGGGTTTGAGGGTTTAGGGTTTAGGGGATTATCTATAGCTATGCCGGGCAGAAAACGAGAAAACTTTTTATGGGGATATACTAGCGAGCTTCCAAAATCACCTTTTGGAAAGCGAGTAAAGGCTGGACACGGAATACAAAAAGGCTGTAAAGCGATGGGGAAGCCTGAAAAGACCCCGCCCTCCAAAAGTCATTACAGCGCACTTTGAACTTAGCCGACATGGAAAGCGACCCCTTACACATTCAGTTACCATAATGGGTGTATATATATAAATAAATGGTACCCCCCCCC